GGGGGGGGGGGGGGGGGGGGGGGAGGGGAGAGAGACACATACGCAGAGACAGAGAGAGACAGGGGCAGAGACAGCGAGACGTACGAACAAAGACAAGGGACAAACGTGTTCTTGGTGTCCCGCCCCCCTCTCCGCCGGCATCAAGCACCTGACACTCTCAACGCCGGCGAACCTCTTCGAGATTCAGCCCGCGTGTCATTCCGTTTTTTTCTACAAGTATACGTAAAAGCAGAGAAAGACCACCCGTTCAAGATGTTGCCACAGCAGGCGAACGCGATGTGTTCAAGTCTTGGGAGAAAAAAAAACGGCTGGACAAACGTTGTCTGGAGGTGGGAAAGCTTTACCGTTCCTTAGCAGTACATACACTCAAAGAGAGACGATGCTTTCGACATAATACCACAGCAGTCGAAGGGGATGTGTCGTAGTCTTACAGTCAGTGGGAGGAAATCGGCTGGATATTGGAATATATTTTGAGTCGACAAAAGCCTACAGTACACATACGCTGAAATATACCAGTGATTCCAGCTGGTGCGATCATAAAAGCATCAAATTACCACGGTCTTTTGCAACAAGGGCAGGGGCCCGTTGCTACCGCGTGCTTGTATTCAACGCAAGCACCAGTCTCACAGGTCTGGTCCCCCGACCCAACACAGTGAACAGAAAACGAAATTTCCCTGGCTTGGCGTCGAGATTCGTAGCACAGGCGGGGGGTTCACGAACACATGCGGCGCCGCTCGCGTTGCTGTTGCTGCCGGAACTCCTACACAGCCACCAAGGAAATATGGCATGCTATGGAATGTTGGTGGAATCCCGTGGGAAGAGTACGGAAGGGGAGCTTCTTCGCCACTGAGACAAGGAAAATCTAAAAAATTCGAATGATTCAACAACCAACAATGAAGTAGCATCCAACAGCCAAGAATAACAGCCAACGGTCATAAACAACCAACGGTCATAAACGACCGTTACCACCCCCTTCTCCCGCACCTTGCTTCGCGGTGTTCCTGTTGATTATCTTGTCCTGGACTGAGTCGACGACGCCAAATCCCCTCACCCCCGCACCCTCTACGCCTCTTCCGGTCGGCAACAAAACCCTCCAATTTCTCCCCCCGCCGCGGACGCCGCCGCTGCAACCGCTACCCCGCAGGGAGCGAGGAGGGTGAGCCATCCGCTCCGCTCCAGACAACGACGCGCTGACGATAGGTCGCAGGGTTGGCAGACTGCGCGCGGGGGAGACAATAGCCAGGAGGGGGGGTTCAGGGCGTTGAGCAAAAGAAAGCAGGCGCTCTGGATGAGGGAAGGCGGCGGGGTTGGGTGGAAAAAAAACTTTGAACAGCCTTCCGTGAAAAAGTATAGAGGGGATTATGTCAGCGTGTGGTGCGACTTTGCTTGGCGATTGGAGGACAGTATCGGGCAGCTCGGAGTTGCTACTGTTGTGAACCGCAAAAATTGTGCACTCGTGGCGTCCTTTGCCGTGACTTTGTGACGAAAAGGGAAGGCCCGTTCTTGATGCGTTGAGTGGAAGCAGTTTGTTCCGAGAAAAATAAGGCAAGCGAAGAGAACCCGTCGGGTTTTGGCCCTGTTGCGAGATGGAAGACAACAGCTGCTGTTACCACACGTGGTGTACCACCTTTTGCAGCGTTTGCACTTGAAAATCACCATCTGGTGCGACACGGAGAACCCTTAGTATGATACACCTGGCACTTGGACAAATTTAGTAGTTTGTCTGAGAAGACCCAGGCACGAGTCGGGGGGTGTTTGGATTGCCTGATGTTTCTTCCTTCTCCTTTGCCAACATACTATGTACACAGCAGTGCCTGCACATCTGCGGCTCTCTAACCGTTCAAACTCTGCGAGAGCTTCACCATGTCTACACACATCTGCTGTCGCTCCAACACGACGCCCAATGGTGTGCATGTACACACGCATGTGCCTCCCCTTCATCACCGTGGTTAAACTGCCGACAGCTGGCTGATGCACTAGAACTCTCTACTCACGACTCTGTGCACGACAGGGCAGGCCTTCTCGGGGTGCAAACCAACACACACGCAGTCGACAACACAGGGCGAGAGAACCGAGCGGAGGGGGCCCGCTGGCTGATGCAAGCGAACGACGATGGTTTGCGGCTTACCCTCGTCTCTCCAACGACAAGCCCTACGACTGCAACACCCCTGTCCAACAACCCCCAGCTTCTATGCATGCCTCTCTCTCTCTCTCTCTCTCTCTCTCTCTCTGTGTGTGTGTCCCTCTCCCCATCGCTTTCTCTCGCCCATCCTCGCTAGCTCTCCGCAACCTACACCACGCTGCCAACTGCTGTGAGTGGCGACTTGCCGAAACGCGGACTGGTCAAGGTGAAAACCGATAGACGATTCATGGGCACATCCCGGTCATGGGTATCAATGATTTCGTGCGCGCCACCTACCTCCTTCGCATTGCCATGGCTGAAGATGTAAGCACACTCGCACGGGAACAGCGCAATAGCACCAGACTACAAGGCACACGGCACTCTGCTACATTGCCAATTCCCAACTGCACTAACGAGAGGGTCCCTGCGGACTGGACGAAAGGGGTTTTCGAAAGTCTGGGCGGCTTTTTGGTTCGCTTTTGAACTCTGGAAGGTGGGAATGTGCAAGGTGCAAGGAGTGGATCTTGCGGAAATCACATAACCGCAGGAGGGGGTCCAACCCCCCCCTCCTATGTGACCCCGGCTGGGTCGTCTAGCTAGTAGAAGTGGAGGATAGGGGCCAGAGGGGCAGACGACAGAGTCCAACGATGGGAGAAAAACAAACAAGAACAAACGTGCGTGTACTGCTGTGCGCCACTATCGACGGTGGGACACAGGTCGAGATGATGCCTCTCACCCCGTCAACGATTTCTATCAATGTCAGCCGCGGATGGTGCTTTGGTCGGTACGAGTACGAACCGTTTTGATCCCCAACGTCGTTTCCGATGCAATCCGGCACGAAACCCTTGCCTAGCGTGTGTTTCAAGCGGCTTGTGTTTCACAAAATGTAGTTAAATACAAACGAGGTGACCGCTTTGCATGAGAGATTGTAGCGAAGAAGTGTGCGAAACAACAATATAGCACGACGGAAGAACAGAGGGTTGCGCATCAGAAACAGCAGAGGGTCGTGATGAACGAAGAACAGCGGGCGTCATCAATCGCGAATGTCGTTGACACCCCATATTTGAAGTGGAAGCGCGCGGTTGTGGATCCGAGCAGTGCGAAGAAGCTTGTGTCTACGTTGTAGTCCGCACAGGACAGCGTGGCCGTAGCGGGCGTTGTCTCTGCCAATTCATCGCAGAAGATCTCTCCATATTTTTCTGACGCCTGGCAATATTCGGCCACGTGTTGTAGAACTGACTGGCGCGTGTGCGTTGGTTCGAGAACTCGGCCGAGAAGTGCTTCCTCTTTTTTTCGTGATGCCGGTTGTTTCGTGCGGTCGTCCCGCCAGGAATCTTCGCGCGCGAACGGCATAAGGTAAATGAAGAGGCGCGACTGACGTTGCTGGAAGAAGTACAGTAGAGTTTGCCGATGTGGCAAAACGTCAGTGGAAAGGTGCTCCTTCAATGTGTGCCATAGTTGTTGTCCGAAAACCAAGTTGTAACACCGGTTTATATTGATTAACGAGTATTATTGTAATGAAGCTGTGCTCGAAAACAGAAACTATTTCGAGGACAGCAAGTGAGTCGTGAACGTTCTGTTTTGGGATTTGACCAGTTTGATCATCAACCTGCGTTCATCAACCCGCATGTATCCCTCATGCCCCTCGACCACGCCTCCGTAAACCCCATTTCAATTTCAGTATTTCACTCGTATTTGGCCACCTGCCGGTTGGCTTTCATACCAGAGGCCGAAGTGGGTACAATGCCATCTCTGGTCCTTTTCAACACGGGGTGTGTCTGCCCCGGCAGAAAGCGCCCAGCTCTGTCGTCTGGAGGCTGACGTGCTGGCAAATGAGACCATCTGAGTCTTCAAGGCATGCGTTGAAGCTCTGGTTCCCCTCTGTCCACGGCTTTTCCGGCGAGGATCCATCCTCCGTACAGAATATGCACGTCGCGACCATTCATTGGTGGTGTCCCCTACACCATCGACACCGACCTTGTCCCGTAGTTCTAGGACAACGTTGTGCGGGCACCTCCCCGGTATATCGGTGTAATCGACGGGCCGTTTCGGTGGACTCTTGGCGTTGGGCGGCAGTTTGCGACAGCAGCAAGTGGTGTTTGTGGGAGGACAGCGACACCCATAGACTCCTCCTGAAGCCACCCAGAGAACTATGCACGTACACCGGATTGGTGCATCCCCTGGGAACACAAACGAAGTATCTCACGCTGGTGGACTTTGAAACTCTGCCTTCTCCGCCAGTACCAGCTACATACCCCAGAGGGAAATTGAAGGTCGGCAGCGCCGGCACACACCGCCTGTATCATCAACGATGGGTGCAGCCGAAGCTGGATGCGATAATATCTCCAATTGTGACCAAAAACCGCCGTGTGGATCGCAATATAACAGATTTTCCCCATGATGAGCGCAAGCGAGGCCGGGTGTAGCTTAGTGTGCCCCCAAAAGAGACCACCAGCTGATGGATGCGGCCGCGTCCCCTCTGTTCCACGGCCACCATAAGCCTTGAATGAGCACAAAAAGCAACGGTATGGCAGCGTCATTCATTACTCTCCGGCGTGCGCGTGTTCCCCTTCCACACACACCCGAAAAACAGTCGCTGGAGGCCACAAGTTTGGGACAGCCTTGTTTGCATAAGTTGCCCTGCTAGTGCAGGGCTGCCTCCAATCTGAGGTCCGCTTTCCTTCCATCCTTTGAACGGATTGGAATTTGTCTGGTGTGTGACGGCGTGTCGAAACGACGGCGTCGCGAACGGAACGGGCGTTGTTGTTCTTGGTATTTTTCTTGTTCTCGTCGTCTTGTCATCATTAAAGCGTTTTAGTCTGTCTCTGCTCAGTACCTTCTAATCGATACCCCCCCGTCCCGGTCCTATTGACAACAACGCGGGCGCCGTTCCGTGTTCACAAGCGAACCTCCGCGAAGAAGGGCACGAACAACGTTGTAGAGGATGAAAGCAGTCGGGATACGTTGAAAAACAAGTTGCGGCTGAAGAAAATTCACGAACCCCGTCGCGTTTTACAAGTGGAAATATCTGTTCGCAGCCTCCCTTGAGCGATAGCGCTCACTACGCTAAAGCACTTCGAAGCAGCATACAAGACATACACGTATCGTACACGACGACATTACTGAGGGTGAGGGGGGGCGGATACGAGACTCTACGAGACTCTCGCTGTGTTCCTGAGCGATAACCCTTGTTGCGCTAAGGTGCCCGTTGCACTATGCACGTATCCAAAGGCAACAGCATACATGACAAACACGTTTCCTACACAACAATAAGGCTGGGCCAGTGAGGCCAAGTTGGGGGGGCGGGGGGAGGCGGGTACGAGACTCTCAATGATGCCCACATCGCCGCAAGAAGAACCGAGCACTGGACCGGCTAAACATAGCTACTATCGACGTTTCGTGTGAAAGGCGAGAATGTTACTTTCTGCCGCCGCCGGGATTCTTCGGGGGACCCTGCTGGTTGGGTTGCTGCTGGTTGTCCTCTGTGGTGTTTTTTTTGGACTCGGCGGGGTTTTGGGCCGGGCGGGTTGGCTTCACTGGGGTCACGGTCGGAGTGACGGTGTTGACCTTTTTCCTGTTGCGCTTCTCGGCGCAGGTACTCTGGGCGGCGCTGTTGAAAATATATAGACTAAATTGTGTTGGTGTCGGCTTCATTTATGCGTTTTCTCCGTTTGTTTGCTGGCCACATGGCGCCGACAGATTCTGGTTTGCTTCTGCAGAATTCCTTGCGGAAGTTGCTGAGGCGTCTGCAGCGTCGGCCTTTGCCTGTAGAGTAAACCGGCCAATTAACGAACGCTTAAGCCACCCCTCGCGCCAACAGCTCGTTCTCGGGCATGAAGAGGAGTATGATGTATTTGTGGGTACCGGACGATAGCTTGTATTATAGGCTACCTCCCTAAAAAAAAAAAAAATCGTTCGTGTCAACGAGATAGAGCTGATGCAGTGCATTCCATTGTTTAGCTGAAAATGCAGGAAAACACCCCCCCCCCCCAATTAACGAACACTTTAGCTTTGTAGCTGCTTTCGTGCGTTCTGAAGCGTTTCATGATCTGATTTTTTGTGGAGATACGTCTGTCGCAACATATATCCGTTTAGGAAAAAAAAAATGGAATCGATCCACGCCCGGGGACAAAATCCTCACATCCCCGGGTTTTCCGCCTGAAATCGGGGACGGATTTTACCCCATTTTTGACCGTACGGCGGTGCTGCACACATGAAAAGAGCCAAAACTAAGAGATTATTGCACAGTGGGTCTAATCTGATCATATACAGACTCAAGAAAAAAAAATTAGGACGAAAAACTTCGCGCATGTGATGTAATGCCCGTTCAAACAGGCACCCCTTGACCCGGCCGCTACCGCTATAATTCTCCGCAAGAACCCCAAGGCCATTTCCCTTTTTTCACAGTCATCTTACATTCCCACAAGACGCCCTTTGGTGTGTAGGTTTGTTTTATCACAAGAAACGCTGTTGCAAAAAAAAAAAAAAAACATGCATGCCCGGGGACAAAATTACCATATCCCCGGGTTTCCCGGTATCAACCCCCCCGCCCCCCCCGCGCTGCTGGGGTGCACCCTAACCATCTCCACATGCCCCCACAAACCACCTAATCTTCTGCTTTACTCGTATAGTCTAATTCATCCACCGCCTAGACAATAGTAGCCCAGAAAAACAACAACAACCGCAAAGCATCTGCCCTGGTCTAAACATCAACGATTGGTGTCGGGATCCGCTGCCGTCCTCGGGAAGAAATGGGAGCCGCCGACGGCGGCGGGTGAACCAAGGGAACCGCCGCCCCTCTCGGCCGTCCCGCTCCTCCTTGGACGGGAGCACCTCTCCCCTCGTCCCCCCCCCGCCCTCCCGCCCCCATTTGCTCTCCACGAGCACCAGTGGTGCGGTCCTGGCCACCCTGTCCTCTGCCACGCCCCTCTCGCCCACCGCCACCGCGCCCCCTGATCGCCGTCCGCGTCCCGCTTAGCTCAACCCTCACGCTCCTCTCTCCCCGCCCTCCGTCCTGTTCCCCGCCCCGTCCTTCGCCACGCCCCCCGCTCCGCCCTCCACCTCTCCCACCCTCGCGCCCTCCACCTCTCCCCCCCTCTCGCCCGCCGCCCCGCCCGAAGCCCCGCCCGCCGCCCCGCCCGCCGCCCCGCCCGCCGCCCTGCCCGCCGCCCCGCCCACCAACTGCTCCAGATTGTTGGTTGGCCTCCTTCGTTGCCCTTGCCTCCGCGCGTGCCGCCTTTGCTTCCTCAGCTGCCTGCTTCGCTTCTTGGTCCTTCTTGGCCTGAGCAAGATGTTCTTCGGCGGACAGCAGACCACCTTCGGGCTTCCCCCCCCCCGCCCGAACGGTCGCGAAAGCCTTGGTGCGCTTGGTGAGGCGGGTGAGCCCGCCAAGGAACACGGTGTTGACACGGAGCCCCTCGATCATCAGCCCGTGTCTTTTCAGCT